ATTTAAAGTAAAATATCTAAATAGAAGTATTAAATATAGCAATTAGTAAGGCAAACATCTTAAATAGGTAATATAAAAAAATTATATATAACCAATTGTATGCTTTCTTGTAATAGTTCATTAAATTACATTATCAAAAAAGTTGTTAATAAAAGTCAAAAGACTAAAAAGATCATCTTAATATTAAAAAAAAAAATTGTGAATACTAAAAAAAAATATAAAAAAACATTAATAAAAAATAAAAAAAGACTGGTTTTAAACCTATAGGTTGATAGCATAGTAGTTAACATTCTTGAGTTTCAATTATAAGATCATGAGTTCAAGTTCAAAAGATAACAAAAACTTTGATAAAACTACAATTAAAAAAGATTTACAAAGAATTTCTATTTAAAAAGCAAGAACAAGATTCATATGAAAAAAAATGCAGTGACTAGCATAGTCACAGAATCAGAAACAACTAGATAAGGCATAATCTATTAAAAATATTATAAACATTAAGAGAACCCTATTTAAGAACATGTAAAATTGAGAATATTGAAATTTATAGATAATCTAACTAGTAGATCATGTGAAGTTAGAGAACTGTGAACTAAAGAAAATAGTAGATTTTACACTGCAGAACCAAGAACCTGGAACATTATATGATAGACTTAATGGAACATGAGTTATCTTACAATTCAGTGACATATAAGGGCTACATACTGTTTGATAATCTTTACAGAATGATAGCTCTAATTTTTAAAAAATGTAACAGGTTTTAAAGATGTCTAAGAACCTTTAGAATAACAGAAGGAAATAAGGATAAAAAAAAATAAAAAATAAAAACAAAGGTCTAGTAAAATAAAAAAGAACTAAACTATAGTAAAGATAAAAAAAATTTTAAAAAATATAGTTTGACTTAATAACAAATTTCATATGTAATAAATTAAAATTATTTATATAAACCTCTTTGGCTAGTTTTGTACAATCTTTGATTTTAAATAAAACTTCTAACTGGTACAACAGACTGCTTCTGAGCATTTATATAGTAATCAAAAAATGTTGAACCAGAAAAATTAAATCAAAATGTATATAATTTATGCACAAAAATCTTAATAAAGGTTTACAACAAGGCTGCCAAAATAAAATAAAATAATTAAAAATAATAAAAATTTGAAATTAGAATTTAAAGTTGAAATAGAATTATTATTAGAAAATATAGTTATATAAATTTTTACTTACATCATTATAATTTTTTTTTAATTGTTCTTAGCTAAATATATTATTTAATTATAAATATTCTTATTCTAAAATCTATAATTAGACTTTATATATATTGGTCTACGCTGAGATTTGTTTATACTAGCTAGAATTTTTAACTATTTTGGATTTTTTTTTGAAGATTAAACTAATATTTAGGATAGCATTATTAATATTATTATATTAATAAGAGTATAATAGGTATTATATTTTTAAATCGGGATTCCAAATCCCACCATAAGAAAAACCAGCATAGCACAAGCAAGCTCCAGCAATAACAAATCCTAGCGTAGTTGCCATAATTATTAGTAGCCAAAATTTTCTCTTAAGTATTTTAAATACGTACAGATAATATATTAATTTTAGGCCAACGCATACTGTATTAAAAATTTTTATAACAAATATTCGATTAAAATTAGTTATACAAAAATAATATTATCATCAAAATCAAATTAAAACTAGTCTATTTGTACAAATTGTGTATTATTACTATGTACTGTACCGTCACGAAATAAAACCCGATATGCAAACCAAACTTTGTCTTATTATTATTATTACTATTATTTTATTTACCATGTATTACATATTATACGTACAACCTCTTTGATCTCGTTTTACTCTTAAATAAAAAAACTTAAATATCGCGGATGACTCCGAAATTTGGTCCTATTTTAATGTATGATTTTTAATCTTTTTTTGAAGTGCATTTTTTTGGCATTCTATTGTAATGTATTAGAGTTAGGTTAGGATTTGGACTGGAATTGTTAATAAGAGTATCAAACTGAAATTTGCATTCAAACTTCAGCAAAAGACATTCATCATTGACATGAACTGGTCCGATTGAACTCAAAAGAAATATCGAAGAAATAAAATAATGCTTTTAATAATGACTTAAGATAGTAAATATTTGCTACGTATAAATATTTTTATTACGAATTTATTATAATAATGTACAGCCAATAAATTTTCGTATATTTGTGAATCAAAAACTAAACCAAATTTACGATTCTATAATTTAGGTTTGTGACTTTTATATTATTTCTTTCAGATATATCCCACACTTGATATTCAATCTTCCATATCACCTATCCTCTTTTTATTCACATTCAAAATAATCCCCTGCAACATCACTAATTTAAATTGCAAATCTTTCTCCTTTTCCATTTTGCATTCAATCTAACTACAAATGTTAACGTATAAACGATCTTAACTTATGTATTTTTATGTGTTGTACGTATAATGCTTTGCAATATGTAATTATACATGCATTGGCAGGTAAACTTTTCAGATTGGTCAAATTACCTTATCCCTGGTTTTTAAAATACGTATTTGTATTTGTAAGTTGGCAACTAAACTTTATCGTTATTATGTCAGACTACGCTATTACCAAAATAATTTAGACAAAGACAAAAGGAATATCGATATATATATATATCGATATACCGTATACAAATATATACATATAATATATATATATATATCTTATATTTTTCCTCTTCTTTTCACAGTAATGCTAACATTGTCAGAGAATTCAGAAAGCAATTCAGAGAGCAATTCAGGACAATTTATTTCTTAAAGGACAGCGGCCTTAATAATCATTATTCGATAAGAATTAATGAATGCTGTATAAAGTTGATCATGATATCTGACGTTGACATGTGTACGATGAACGAATAGAAAATCCAAACATTTAAAGTAATATTTTATTATTTAAATGAGTAAAATCATGAATGTATTTATTAAAGATGACTGTACATATTCTTGGGTTCCAAGGATCGGGTCTTGGATTGACGGACCCACATCATCTGAAGTGACCTATGATTTAATATAAATCATAACAGGATAAATGATTAGCTCCTTTGGTAATACCAAGTTCGTACACTTGTCGAAATAAATATTACGAAGCATCAATTTAAATTTGTTAATTAAGCATATATATATATTGTACAACATGCATCGATAATTCGGTCGATTCTTACATGTTAGTTACCATACAAGAGGTACACGTTCTAAAAATCTGCATATTTTTCAACGTGGCTTTCGTATAAATCCTCAGAACATTAAATAATCTAACCTTTAATCGTTAACTCTTGTTTTACAAACCTGTTCAGATAACCAGGGTCATTTCTGGGTTCATACCAATTTTAAAGAATTCGTTAACTAATTGAATTTGTTATCTTCAAAATTCGTCTTACAAATTACGATGTTGATGCAAGGATCTTCTGTTGAATACTGTATGTTAAGTACATATCTATATTGTAATGTCGAAATTACTGATCTTTTTGACCTTTTACCATTCATGTTGAATGACCATGCCGAATAATGTGAACACAACATGCTAAAGCATTAGGACGTACGTATGTGCGTATTTTCTCCAAAACAACCCTGGGTTTAATCCATATATATCAGAATGACATAGGTGTTTTACCTAAACCATTGGTCGCTTGTTACGGTGCACGGTGTTATAACCAAATTGTGTAACTGATAATATCACGTATTAACGTTAAAGCGAATTGAAATTAAGGTTTTGCGGCATGATGATCTTTGATATAGATCTGCTACCCGGGTTTGCTAAGATTAAACTTACCCGGATCAATCGGGTCAGCTAAACTTTTAGACAACTAATACGGTACTTTATGCCAAGAAAATTCCGGGCTGAAGATCACTTCCGACCCTATCCGGATCCAATAAAATCACAGGATCTCGTGTAACCAACCAAACGCGAAAAACAAGAAATTGTAAAAAAACGTAAATAACAATTTACTATGATAACTAACTTCCGACCTCTAAGTAAAAGTTTTCAGAAAGAAATTTTACTTACGGGACACAATTTTTAATGTTAGATATATAGGGAATTTTTGAGATACTATGACCCATATTTTTTTGGCCGGCAGCTCGGGACTTTCTTGACATAAGAACACCCCAACTAATACTAATGTTAAGCTATAGAAAAAATTTAAAAAACTTTTTCAGTTAAATTTTAATATACATAAACTCAACTTATTCTAATTTTTTTACTTATGATAGTAATATTAGTTTATATTTTTAAATTATTTTTTGAAATGTAGTTTAATGTCAATATAATTACCAGAATTGGTAACCAAAATTTAAAATAATAAATATTTTTTATATATATTTTATAATCTTTAATAAAAAATTTACTACAAATCACTAGTAGCATCTATTACTATCAGGAGTACCGAAAAATTAATTGCAACTCGATTATTACGCAATTATAATTGATTATAATTGTTGTCGTAACTAATTAGTGAAAGCATAATTGCAAATAATTGCTATTAGCCATATGGGTGTGATAAATCTTTATGTGACAAATAAGAAAATAAGAATTAAATGAAACGAGTGATTTCTATTTGACCTCCCTAAAACCCACTTATACTTGTTTATTATAAACTTTACCCTTAAACACTAATCCTAATCCTAAAAAAATGCACCTCAAAAATTGTATTTTTCGGTGGCTTGTCTACTTGACATTATTACTCATTTCATTTAGCATGGTTAAAAATCCATTTATTGGTTGATCGTAGATTAACACTTGTCATATGACTACTAATTGATACCTGTCATATGACTACTTAATTAGCCAATTATAATTATTACTGTGTAATTATTACAATACGAATCATTTTATCTTTTAAACAATTAAATTTAAATTTGCATACAAATAAACATATTTTATTATAAAAAATTTTTATATTTAAATTTTTATATATATATATAAAAAAATATAAATTTATGTAAAATTAATATGACAAATTGGTAATATCTTGCAAAAAGTTATGTGAAGTTAAAATTTCTTTTTTGTTTTCTTCTAATCGATTTTCTATAAATGCTAATATATTATAAGTAATTATAATAACAATTAACTATATATCTAATTTATTATACTTACCTAAAATTTTGTTTTCCAATTTTTTGTCAACATCAGTTTGTATAGATAAAATATCAGCATCTTCGATATCATCATTTTTTGATTGATTCGTATATAAAAATAATTCATCATTCATATCTTCTTCCATCTTTAAACGATTATTATAAGAAGTAGTCAATTGTTCAATAGAATCACACAAATAATCCAAACAATATTGACATCGAAACTTTTGAAAAGAAAAACATTTTTCATGATAAGCATGACTGCATATTAAGACTTGACCATAATTTGACATATTAGAACACATAAGATAATCGCAGAATTTCTCATTTTTTGGAGGAAATTTTGTATGATATCCAAGCGGCAAAGCACCAAATGAAAATTTTGACTTGATATTAGAAAAATAATAACATGGGATCATATTGTTTTTTCCTTCTATTTTTTTTTTAATTTCACTATTATTTTTCTATATCATATCAAAAAAATCTAATAAAAATATTGCTGTTTCTTTTGCTAAATTTTCCAAATCTTTTTTTTTGTATGGATAATCTTTTTTTGGTGAAAATACTGTGATAAAGTTATTTTCTGAATGAAGATTGTCAATAAATAAAGCATCTCATCTAATTGATTTGGCAGTATTTACTTTGTTTGTTGTATGATGCCTTAATAAACTATGAAAATTTTCTATCGAATACTCATCAAAAATATTTAAATACTCTTTTAAAACATTAATAATAGAATGATTGGTCAAATTCCAATAATGTATATCCGAAAAAAAAGCAAGAAGAATCTTGTCATAGTTATGTCAATTAAAACGTCGCATTGCACACCATAGTCTAAATACTGTTGCAATATATTCATCCAAATGATTATCTCAAAATAAAATAGAATATATATCAAGCGATGCAGGAATTAAATTATCCAAAAGATCTAAAAATGTAATATATCCTATAACTTTAGAATATTCGAACCTTTTCATTACATATCTTTTAATAATTTGCCATCCTGAATGAGCTAAATATAATAATAACTCTATTTTCCAAGGTTTCGGTGTCAGAGCTAATTTTTTTTTTTTTTAAATATAGTTCTATACATTAGATCAAAAAAAGCCCAATATACGTGCATTATAGATTCTTTTGTATTTAATGCAAGATGAAGAGTTCTAACATTGAAAGTAAACATACTACTTCTTTAGAAATTAAAGGATTGTTCGTAGCTAATTTGTTTACAATTGCTCTTCTTATATAAAGCTGTTCAGGAAAATCAGCTGGTATTGGAATAATGTATTGATTTAAATAATGTTGAAGTTCAGGTAATCTATATATACAATATAATATTTAGATTAATTTTTAACAAATAAATTTTTTTATTAAATATACTAACTCAATAAACATATTTAAAGCCTTTACATATTGTTTTGTATTTTTAAGATCTAACTCAATACAGTCAATTAATTTGGTTTTATTAAAAGTTCATCCATATCTTTGATAAAGATCAGCATTATAAGAATGGATTGTCAAAATTTCTAAAAGTGTTTGTTCACTTTTATAAATATTATTTGAAATCCACGCCCAATTAGCTTTTATTGTATTGTAACTTTTCATTAAGGTAATTATATAATCATGAGATAATATTGCCTTAAGAAGTCTTGCATCCACATTATTCGGATTATGTATTGGAGTATTATTAGATGAGTAAAATGGAATAGGTTTGGCTTCCGTAGTGTTAAATAAAATAGTAGCCATATGTGCAAGTTGTTCAGTTGAAGTTACACTTGGAATTCATGTACCATGAAGGTTGTGATAGTCATCAATGCATCCAATTAAAAGATTTTTAGACTATTTTTTATTAGTATATATAACTTATATACATACAATACAAATATTATTATATATATGATCTCAATACTTACATTATTTTGAACATATAATTGCACAGTAGACCTATGCTTCAATACAATCTGCTCTAATGCATTAAATACAGTTTGATATGTCAAACAAATTCTCATATTTGCTAGAGTATTAATACCAACTACTGAAGCTCCTGATCCTAACAAAAATAATCCAATGGCTGTTTTTGTTTCACTAATTTGCTTGTTTCGCAAAGATGCTAATTGGTAACATACCATCATAACCTTTTGCTTTAACAATTCTCATATATGTTGATTTTTATTAGCAGGATTCATAGATTGATATATAATATTAAAAAACCCATATAGTGTTAGTTCACGGCTCTCTATTAATTTAATAAATTCATTTGTATTTAAAATAATTAAATGACCTTCTTTCTCATAATTATAAAGAACTTTTGTCATCTTTGTAATCTGACTCTCAAAATCGCTTACAGAATATACAAGCTCTATATTTTATTAATTATAATTAAATTTATGTAATTAACAATCTAAATAACAAGAATTATTTAATAATTACCTGATCGTTTGGTTACTTCTCTATACATTTGCACTTCCAACTCTAATTTTTCAAATTGTTCTTTTAATGTATTAATATCTGATGTAATGTTTAATAATTCTTAGTAATTATCTACTGGTATAGTAATTCACTTTGTTTGATTTCCACTTATATAATATGAAGTATCATTTTCTTTTTTTTTTTTTCTCTTATGAATGTTTCTATCATAAGCCACCAACTCATTATAATGTTTTGTACATAATTGATCACCGTTTTTTAACTGAATTACCAGAGCAGATGCACTGGAACTATTCTTAATTTTTCAAGTGACCAGTTCTTTAATGTCCTGTAAATTTCTTGTGAACTATGTTGGCCACATACAACACATAGCCCTTTATTTTTACGAATTCTGCCTCATGCCATTGTTAATAAGGAAAGTCCAAACTAAAAAATGATCTTAAAAAACTATTTTATGATCTTTATATGTAAACATTCAAAAAACAGTTGTGTAAAATTTCAGGTTAGGCATCTAAGTAATGCTGCGCATGTTTCATATCAGTATATTTTTTCTGCATTTTACAATAACCATCTTTTATATATGCTGATCAGTAATAAATAAATTACGTAATATATAGATAACCAATCATTGAGATTTTTAACCATGCTATTTTATTTAATCTGATTTCATTTAATCTGTCATATTTACTAACTAATTATATTAGTTAATTACATAAATGATTTATCACATCCAAATTGCAATTAATTGACCCATTGTGGCTATGCTACCAATCAATTAATTGAGTCCAAATAATTGCAATTAATTTCTTACAATCAATTACGTATTTGGTAAATCTGATTACTATATACAGCATAATACAATTTTAAACTTTGTTTAAAATTAGATATTATAATTTAAATTTAAATTATACAAGTTTAAAAAATAAATATTACTGGTCAAAGCTTTATTAAATAAATATACAAATTAGATATTAATTTTACAAACATATTAATACTATTATTTATATTATATTTTTTAATAATTATATTTTTTATAGTTAATATTTATAAACTATTTATATATTAATAAAATTTACAATATATATCTTATTTTTAATTTGTAGGCTTTTTTTTTATTAAGGTCAATATATATTAAGGGTAGAGTATATGATTTTCAAATTATATATAAAACTTTTGGTAACTTTTTATTTAATTAAAAATAAAAAAATAATTTTTTAAGTAAATAGCTTTTAAATATTAATTAAAAATTGTAGAATATGTTTTTCTGATTCTAATGATAGTAAATTTATTAAAATTGGTTA